AAACTCTCCAAGTAACCTACCTCAAAATCAATATACAAACACTAGAAAAAGCAAGTAAAGTGCCTCACAAATACAAAGGCAAAAATAACCTATACAAAAGGCTATGTATAAACTGTACAATATAAACAAGTAGAACTAGGTCTTCTCTTCATGATAGAGCATTCCAAGTGAAGATTACCTTGGGCTTGACAAGCCCACTAGTCTTCACAAGGTCCAACTCTTCCTGTATTCTTCTAGCCATAGCTCTGGTAACTGGGCCCTTGGCCCATGGTCTATCATATAGTTGAATAGAAAGTTGTCAAGATGGTATATGATGCCTATTGTTGTATTGTTGTAAGTTGTCTATCGTTGTAAGATGCCTATTGTTATATTGTTGTAAGTTGCCTATCGTTGTAAGATGCCTATTATTGTATTGTTGTAAGTTGCCTATCATTGTAAGATGTCTATTGTTGTATTGTCGTAAGTTGCCTATCGTTGTAAGATGCCTATTTTCATAAGTTGCCTATCGTTGTAAGATGCCTATTGTTGTAAAGTTATTATGATACTATAGTTGTAAAGTTGTATGATGTCTATAGTTGTAAAGTCGTAAAGTTGTCTATTATTGTAAAGTTATAAAGCTGCCTATTTGATGGAATCATGCTTTGGAGTGCAAGAGGTGACATACTCAAAGATCCAAGAGGAGTGGGCTAGACATGGAAGATTGGGCCAGTCCAGGCCCAATGGGCCCTATGGGCTTGGAAGGCCCAAACCAAGTTTCAACATGGGCCTATCTTGTTATTAACATCCTTATTATATTTTTGTTAACCTAGTTTGAATATATTTTGGTCTTGTATTTTGGACCATATAGAGTAGCATTTTAGGTTATAGGCTAGTTGGGCCTAGTTTTGGGCTTCATGGGCCTTTGGGCTTTTGGTACCCAATATTGGGCTCATTTTCATTCTTGTAATTTTTCCTTTCCATTGTATTTGTTGGACCATTGTATTTGGGTCATTAGAGTAGGATTTAAGGAGGAATATTAGTTTAAGAGGATTAGGCAAAATTAGGTTTAATTTAGCATGCATTTAAGTTGCATTTTGAGTCACATGGATTATGCCACCTTGGCTGAACATGTGTGACTTAAATTCAACCCTAAATGCACACTAAATCAAAGCCAAATGCACCAAGCACCCATGGGACCGGTCATACACATGTGTGACAAGTTTTGAATTCAAATTCAAATTTGAATTCAAAACTTGGCGCCAACATGGTGGCCACTCATGTGGCGCCAAGTGTCCACCTAATTTTCGGAAGCTATATGTTCCCTCCTTCACCTTATTGTACTCACTTTGAATATTGAATGGAAATTTGAGAGCCTTTGGCCGAGTTTCTCCCCTTCAAAGTCACCAAGATTACTCACCTCAAAACCTTAGGAGTTTATCTTCTTCTTCTCTTTGAAGTGAGTAATCCATTGCTTCTTGAGCTTGGATACTTCCCTCCATAGCTTAGGAAACCTAGATCCGAGTTTCTCTTGTCTTCAAGTGTTCTTCATCACGGTTTCTAATCTCCTTTGAAGAAGATCCGAGCCTAGGAGGAGTTTAGGAAGAGTTTGAGCTTCACTCCTACTACTCACCTCCATCACTATTGTTGTAAAGTTGAAAAGTTGGGGACATATGGTGAAGATATATGTCCTATGTTGAGATACATAGTACTATAAGGTGATAAGTTGAAAGTTGTTTTAAAGTTGGATCCCTTAGTACTGTGTGGGAGGCATGGAAATAGTCGATCCATGTCATGGATGAATGACCGATTTGAGTAAGGTATCTAGCTAGAGATGTAGTCTTTGATTAGGTACTGGAGGGTGCGTGGTACTTGGAGGACAGTGACTGGGCTAACTCCATATGTGGATTGGTGATGCTAGCCAAGGTTGTGGTAGGCTCATACCCAAACCTTTTTTTCCTGACAGTAGTACTAAACCTCCGAGTTTAAGTGACACACCTGAGCAATCACATATTGTTGTCTATACCTGGTTCTCTTCGGAGTTCCTAACGATGTCCTATACCTGACCTGGTTGAGATAGGTCAAACACTGGATTTGGTAGGGTTTATGCCACCTAGACTACTCAACCTCAGTTGTTGAAGATCTCCTAGTTGTATATGCGTGATGACGCATTAAATTTTAAGTTGTATATTGTTGTTGTTGTATTTAAGTTGCTTCTAAGTTATATGAATGAGTTGGGTTTTATGTTGAGCTGTGTGGTTGTTTGTGATGATGATTGAATGAATGAGTAGTATAGTATTTCCCTATACTTGTATGATTATTTATTGAACTCTATCTTACCTTTCTGTTTCCATGTGGATGGACTACTATGATCATACTGTGTGTGGGAGTAGATCAGGGCTAGGTTAGAGCTGCTGGTTGCGTTCGCTGCTAGAAGTGGAATTTTTTTTAGTTCCTAGTATCAGAGTTACCAACTTGGGTAACAATTTTGTGCTTGATTGACACTAGGGGATATTAGTTTTGGATAACTGTATAAATACCTAATATTTAAAAACTCAATTATTTTGATATATTTTTCATGTTTTTTGTATTTATGAGTTATCTAATTTTATTATTTATCTTAGTTCACTATTTTTAGTGCGATTCTATTAAGTGTAGGGGTTACGACGAGTCGTTACAATAAAATTAAAGATTAAATAAATTAAAAATTAAAGTTTAAAATATTTATTTAAAAACAAGTGAAATTTAAAGGGTTAAGTATTCTTTTCTCAAATATTTATTGTTGGGGTGGCTTTGGTTCTATCTTTTTCTTTAGTCTCAATTTGGTCCAATTTGTCGAAAGCGACAATTTCTTTACTACAAAAAAAAAAAAGTTTTGTGTATTTTGGTCAATTTTGGCGACTTTTTATCTTCACTGTTGAAAAATTGAAACTAAATAGAAAGATATAAGACCTAAATAAAATAAAATAAAGTTAGAAAATCAAACGTAAAATCAAATAAAGTTAGAAGAATAAATTACTAATTTTATGTATAAGATACACATTTTATTTTAAAAATAATGAATTAAAAATTATTTTTTCAATACAAAGACAAAAATATCTTTGATTTATTATAATATTATTTTCTCTCTTCTTGGTTTGTTATCTAACTTTTTCTTACATATTTTATTATCTAATTAACTAGTAAATAGTAACTTTTACTGATCAATTATTTTTTTACTTCTTTTGATTTTATTTTTTCTCTTTATTTATTCACACGTGACACGAAACAATAAAAAAACTGAATCATTCACGTTTACTTGGAGCTAAATCCAAATAACAAATAATTTATGCTAGTGCGTTCCCAAAATTGTACCTCAAAGTCAAAGTCAAAGTCAAACCGACGAAAAGTTTGAAGTGAAAGAAAGAAAAGGGAAGGTGGCGTTAATGGATCCTTCCAAGAAATGACCTGCATCAAGTTGGTACACTTTCCTTCAGGGACGGAGCCAGGATTTCAATACTGGGGGGCCGAGAATTGGAATGATCAAATGAGGCGCTACATTTTTTTAAAAAAAAAAAATTTCAAAGTGATACCACATAGCAGGCCGTACCAGAAGTCCAAAAGTTGAATAAAAAAATAAATTTGGGTTATTCATTTAATTATACATATGAGTTTATATTAAAAATAGGGGGTGCCATATAGTAATATATATGTATATAAAAAAAAATTAAAATTGTTGGGGGGGCCGTGGCACCCGTAGGTCCCCCCTTGGCTCCGTCCTTGCTTTCCTTCCAAATAGAATGGACCTGAAATGGAAATATACCTACGAGAGCATCATAAATTAAAACAAATATGCATAATTTTTTTTATCTGATTTAATTTTTGTTTATCACATATATTCTAAATTAGATATAATAATTTTAAAAATATTAATAATTAAAAATAGTTTATCATAATATAAATTATTTTTATCAATATAAATATAATTTATATGTTTAAAAATATTTATTTTACATAAACTTGAAATTAATACAATTATATATTAAAATATACTATACATATTTATATGTATAATTTATTATAAATTTTATTTACATTTAATAAATATTTAGTTTGTATAATATACAACTTAAAATCGTAATTTATATATATATATATA